AATTAATTAAATTAATCAAATCATATTAATCTTCTCTCCTCTCACTATACATGTAGGGTTTTGCATAAACTGACAACTTTACCTAACTTTTAACACCAATTCCAAATTATTATAATTATTATTCATCACGTCAATTTCCTAAAAAGTTTTTTTAGGGTTTTAATTGTGTGGGTTTTATTTTATTTTTTAAAATAAATTTATTATATTAAAATACGAGTAATAACAGTAGTAGACGTACAGAGAGGTGTGTAGAGATGATATATATATATATATAGATATGATGTATGTATTGTACATTGAAAATTGAAATACAGAAGAAGTACTGTATAATATAATTAGGGGGAACGTATATGGAAAGGGATGTAATGGCTTCCCCAATTTGGTTTTTGTTTAATTGAGTAATGTTGTTTGTCGTTTGGTGCCACGTGTCCGACAGCAGGGTGCGGTCCGGTTCTTGATTGTGCATCCTGTCGTGTCTCTTCTTCCTTTCTTTCTTGTAGTATTGTATGTATATATGTATGTATAGTGTACGTATATCTGCAAACCCACAAGGCAAAGGCAGGGGCAGGGGCAGTGCATGCATGCATGCAGAGTTCTGAGCTATATTGAGGGAAGTGACAACTCAATTCCTGGTCAAATTATATATAATAATAATAATACTTACTAGTATATTAGAGTGGATGAGATATGATGTGTTGTCTTATCTTGTTTGTTGTCTTGTGACTGTTATTTGGGAGACGAGTGTAATGTAATATTGGTGGGCAGATTTAAAATGAAAGAGGTTAAAATTGAAGCAGGAACAGAAAAGAACATGTCCATCTCATCATTTATTGAGGCATTCAATTTTGTGTATGTGCAAATATGGAAACCTCAATTTATACTATACATTATTATTCAATTCAAATCTCCATCCAACTCTCCCAATTCATTCTTCTTTTATTTCAACTTTCATTTAAGTTCGAGATTTCGGGAGGAAATATGATATTTTTTTATATACAACGAAATACAATATACTACTTCCGGTCCGGCTACTTTTTGAGTGTTGATCTTTGAATATTAATTATTATATAAGCACGTAGGACAATTTAAAGGAAAAAAAAATACTTCTATGAGTGTCTTATAATGATATTTCTGCAAAATACAAATATAAAAATATTTTTAATGTTAAGTAGAATAACAAAAAATGTAAATGAGATGTCCTTGGAGTCGGACGAAGAAAATATATGATTTCAATTGGTAAGACTATATGCTCTTACAAAAGTTAAGGCTGTTTATTTTTATTTTGGATGTCTTTGGAATTTTGTTATTATTTGAATTTAAATTTTTTATAGGGGAAATATAGAATCAAGTAAGATTTTTTTTCTTTCTTATATGAAGCTTTTTAAGTATTAAAGCTTATGCTTTTTAATGAGTTTTATTTCGTTATTATTTTTGTTTTAGAATGTACATTGCCTAATGTGAACAAGAATTGAAATTGAATAGTTGATTAAGTACGATATAAAATTGGACCGTGTCACTCGACTTAAGGATTATGATACATACGCTCATGCACGGGATGTCATAAATCTATTTAAAATTTTATGTCATGGGCCGTATGTATGTTATGATTTGCAAAAGAATTCCTTTATAAATATCAAAGCAAAAACTCTAGTTATGGGGCCGTTGTGATTTGAAAATTCGTTGATCAGAGCGAGGAATGCGTTGTTAAAATCGCATTTTAAAATTTTTTGGATTGATTTCTTTTTTTGTTTTTATTTAATTTTTTTTATATTTTCATTTATTAATTGGGTGTTGAAATTCTTGTTATTATTTTGATTCAATTTAGAGATAATAAGTTTGTTCATTCAATCAATTTTTAGATGACACGGATTTTTATAAATATTATAAAAAGTACAATATATATACTTTGTTTACTCACAAAAGTCCATAATTGAACACAAAATATTATTTTATATATTACTAGCATGATTTTCTATATCTAATATAAGAACTACATTAATGAAAAAAATACAAAATAAACACGTCCAATGTTGGCTAGACTTAAAATATATGTAGCATTTGTTCTTTTTGATTTTTTTTCCCGCAAATTTTTCCAAAAATATTAAGATCTTACTCATGTTCATTGTTTTTATATTCTCTATACAATTCCCTGTACCTCAAATAAAAAATATCTTTTTCAAAATATTTTCTCAAAACAAACACACTTGCACATTTTTCTTTTTTATTTTACAAAGGCTAACCAAATAGTCCTAAATATATATGTTTATTGTCTTTAATTATCTTTTTATTTATTTATTTATTTATTTTTAACAATTTGAGATATTGTTGTTAATTAATCAAAAGTATATGTAATAAACATAATACTTCATACCTCATTTAAATATGTGCTCAAATGTTTGAGTATCTATTTTTTGCTAATATGAATATGTACTTTTTATTATTTTATACTTTCTATGAAAAAATATAAAAATTAGTATAATTATTTATTAAAAATAAATATATATATTTTATGACCGTTTAAAGAAAAATATGAGCATAAATTTGAATGATACGAGTAAATAATGTGTTTCATATTTCTAGTTTCGTTGTTGGCTTCGAAATCATTTGCATAAGGTTTGGAATTATGTCCATGCATTATTCAATTATATGAAATTAAATATTTTTTATTAAAACCTTTCTGCGACAGTTAATTAAAAAATACTTTCAACAATATTTTATTTTAAAAATAAATTAAAGAGGATGAAATTGATGATCTAGCTTTTAAAGTAGCAAAAAAATACAACGAAATACATATAATACCATTTATTTATTTATTATTATTTATCTATATATCTAAATATATATATAGATAGATAATACTCCATCCGTCGTTCAAATCTATTCTCATTTTCTTTTCTTTTTTTAAATGTCATCCAAATTTATTCATGTTTTCTTTTTTTTTTGGTAAAAAAATACTATTTTTCTTTATCCAAAAAAAAAAAAATTTTTAGGGTAAAATGTTCTTTTAGTCCAGTAACAGTAACTGGACCCCCTTATCATTTTAGTCCCGTAAGTGGAGCCTGTCGCAAACTAGTTCCATAAGTAAAAAATTTTCGCTAGTTTTAGTCCTCCGGCGCCGGAGACACCTGTGTGGCTCCCCGGAGGTGACGTATCCGCCAGGTGTCCCGCCAGGTCAACGACACTTGGCGGACACGTAGATTTATTATTTTTTTTTTCAATTTTTTTTATTTTTTTAAATTAAATCAAATTTAAAAATTAAAAATATATAAATAAAATTAAAAATAAGTTTTAAAAAAAATTTAAAAAATAAAAAAATAATTAAAAAAAAATCCACGTGTCCGCCAGGTCAGCGCCAGATGTCGCTGACCTGGCGGACACGTCACCTCCGGCGAGCCACGCGGCCGTCTCCGGCATCGGAGGACTAAAACAGCGAAAATTTTTCACTTATGAGACTAGTTTGCGAGAGGTTCCACTTACGAGACTAAAATGATAAGGGGTTCAATTACGGGATTAAAGAAACAGTTTATCCAATTTTTTATTATTGTATATATTTTTTAAAACTCATGCCCAATTAAATAAGCACACAATTGGATGACGGAGAGATCAGTAAAGAATTATTGTGTAAAGAAAAACACGTAAAGGGTTGAATTCAAACAAAATATTAAAGGATGGGAGTTGTCCTTTAGGATAAGAGCAGATTCAAGCCTTTTGATGATATCCATGTTTACACATAATAATAATAATAATAATAAGCAAGTGGCGACAAAGATGGCTCTATTTATTTATATATTTTTAATATTAGTACTATTCTACTATTTACTAAAAATTATTTTTTTTTAAAAAAAATTAATTATTATATTTAACATGTATTTTTATTTAAAATCATATATCAAAAATATTTTTAATTCATAATTACATTTAAATTTATTAGCAATAAATTAAATGCTAATTTCTAATAGAGCTAGTAACACTATTTTTTTTTTTTTTTGGTTCATAAAAGAGCAACTACAAAGAAAAAAAAAAAAAGAAAATTATATTTATGTTTATATATAAATGATTATGTATGGTAACAAAAAATATAATAAGAAAAACTTTTGATATTAAAATAAGAATAAATGTTATTCAATAATTATTTTTATTTTAAACAATTAACAAAAAAATAAAAACTAAGAAAATCAACCTTTACATTTGATTAGAAGTTTAGCTAAAAGTAATCTGATAGTAAAATACTTTTAAAAGGATACATTCAAATCAGTCAAAATCACAAAAACTAAATGACACATTCTAAATATATAGGTATAATTATTAATTTTAATGTGGAGGTATTATATGACAATTGACTTGTCCCATCATTCAAATTTATTCTTTTTTTTTTTTTTTTAAACGTAATTTTTTTTAAAATCAGTATCTAATGAAATGAACGCACAATTTGACGACGGAGGAAATATAGCATTGCGTTTATTCATATCTTTATTTAAATTTTTGGATTGAACTTACATTTTATTTCTAATATATATATATATATATGGTAATTATTAAACACACTTCAATGTTTTCATCTGAAAAAGAACATTTTTAAGGAGATACACAACCCAAAAAAATGTCCAAATATAGAATACTAAAAAAGAATCAAAATCTAGAAAAGAAACAAAACTATTTTATTTAATTTCAAAAACCAAAAGTGGCTTTTTCAGTTGAGGTGAAGTTAATCATCGCAAGAAAACAAACACCTAAATTTCTGCAGAGACCAAAAGTCATCAGTCATTCGTAATTTCAACACAGACACACTTGTCTTTTTCACGATCTGATCATCCATCTCTATTACATTTCAAACTTTCATATTTTATTTTATTCACTTCTTTCTTTGTCAATTGCTATGTCATTTTTAGCAAAACTCTATCTTTAATTTAAAATATAACAATGAGTTGTAGAATTAGAAAGTATCGACGATCAATTCAATAGGACATTTTTTTTTCTTTGATTTGTAAAAGGCCCAAAAATAAATCCAGCCCAACCCAATATGATAAAAGAGGCCCAAAAAAATGACAATACACTCCCATACTCTATTACATATTCGGTTTCAGTTCCAAATTTAAGTTTCAATACAAGTTCTATTAAGGGAAACTTTTATCTGGTACTAGTACAAGGGTTCTTAGTTGTAGGCAGCTCGCCGTCGTAGGTGCACCGAGGGATGTCCCTATTCACGACCCTCGGCCCTATCGGGACACCATCATGAATCTTCGGACGAATGTCCTATACAATACACACATTTAATTCATTTTAAAATAAAATTGTCCATAATTTCTATGTGATTTTAAAATTCAGCGTAAATCTCGCATGTATTTAAAAATTGCATGGTATCCCCTTATACTTTAAAAAACGTTGCATGAATTTTTTAAGTACATAAAAAATTTACCCTGAATTTCGAAACTATACAGAGTTATGAGAAATTTTGTCTTAATTTAATTTTTACATTGATCTTTACTGAGCATATGATTTTTTTTTTAAAAAAAAACATATTAATAATACCTGATCAAATATAGCCGTTGGAATTGCAAGTGTAGCGACGGCATTCGGAGCATCTACTATGCCCGAAATCCTTCCTTCGCAGGGGCAGCACGAGAGTAAAAGATAGGCCTAATAATTCGAAAAATATTACTACGTTAAACTAACAAACATAAAAAATGATTAGAGATGGAAGATTTCGAAACCTGTTCTTTGGAGTAGCCAAATTTGGAGAGGTAGTCTATCGCATTTAGGACAGCGCGCTTATAAGCGACGCTTGCATCTAGATAATGTTGTCGCCCGCTCTCATCGACGCTAATGCCTTCAAACACCAACCATTCGGAGAATCTCGGCTCCACCGGCCCTATTTCAAATATCGGATTCACGTGCAAAGGCGTTGGCCCCATTGGTGTAAGATATTTTTTCATACCATCCTTTATGATTTCACATCTGTATTATACAGATACGTATCATTATTATAAATTTTCTCCGTCTACGAAAAATATGTTCATATGAGCTGAAAACAAATTTTAATGAATATAATATTTCTTCCGTCCACGGGTAAAGTCTACATTTGCTTTTTACGTGTTGAGTTTTAAATGTTAATTATTATATCAAAATGTAGTACAAATTAAGGGAAAAAAAACAAAAATACTTTAATTAGTATTAGTATCTTATAATACTAATAAAACGAAGTTTATACAAAAAATTATATTTTTAATTTAAATACAATGACGCAAAAAGTAAATATAAACTTATTAAGTGGACGGAGAGAGTATTATATTGGTTGATTATCACGTCAAGTAAAAATATTTTTTAAAAATATCAATTAAAAACTTATATAGATTGATAATATATGAACTGACTTAAGCTCTAGAAAACCGTTCATCTCAATGGCTCCACAGAAAGTAACTTCGCCATCGCCTTGTGAAAAGTGCATATCTCCGGCGCTCAAATTTGCCCCTTCAACAAACACCGGGAGGTATACTTTTGAACCTCGACTAAGATTTTTTATGTCACAATTCCCGCCATTTTCTCTCCCGGGAATCGTCCTAGCCGCTTCCCGGCCTATTCTTTCCCACTCGGGTGTTCCTTCCTTAATCTACAAACATTAAAATTACATATTTATCTCATTTCTAAAACCTACTTAGCTTGTTTCGAAGCCTAACACGCCATCAATAAAAATAGTATTGTTCGATCTAATGCAAAAATATATTCACTCAATCGATAAATTCTATGTCTATGTTTTATACCTTGCCGAGAGCACATGTGTTGGTAGATGGAAGACTCGCCAACGGCCGCATATGCAACACCTCGCATAACTTGAAATTCTCGGGGCCATGTTCTACGAGTTTTCTTTCTCGCTCATTCCATATGTTTAGCAACTCCATCGATGGCGCCGTGCCGATTAATCCAGGGTGTGTCAGCCCGGGAAACCTCACCCCTGTAAGAAAAATATAATTGCCATATGTTTATTCTTGTTTCATCTATGCAAAAATAGCACAATAATTTTCGTGGTTATATTTATCTAGAGGTGACAATTCGGGCTGGTCCAATTTTTTTTCGTGCTGGGCCGGCCCGATCCGATTCCAAACCGTACTGGGTAGCACGGCGGATTGTAAATCCAAAATATATACAAATCAAAAACTTTACCAACAAGTCAAGTTTTAATTTTTTGTTTTTATTTCAAACATTAATATATATATATATTTATTAAAATCCAAATATTAATTTTAAAACATGGTCGGGCCTGACCTTTACGAGCACAGACACAGCCCGGTTTATTAGCGTGTCAGCCAGACATGACCTAAAAATTTTTGAACCAGTTTTTGGAGGCTCAAACACAATTTTTCGCGCATCATACTTATTTTTGCAACCCATATTTATCATAATTCATAGCATTATCCAATTAAATCTATATTTTCTTACTCCAATTTAATTAGACAATTTGTAAGAGAGAGAGAATACCTGGAATATGGGGAGAGTAAGCATATATCCCTTCAAAATACCAAATGGCTTTTGCAGCAGCAGGGAAATGATCAGTGAGAAATCCTCCTCCATTTTCCCTGTCGAAAATTGCAGTGTATCCCCACTCGTCTCCTTGCAGAGGCCCCAAATCGCAAATCTCCACCGCCAGGAGATCGCCGGGCTCCGCCGGATTGCCGCCGCCGTCCACCACTCTGATAGGCCCACTCAGGTAATGAGCCTGCAGTACGGACAAATAACCCTAATTTCAGACAAGCTCTCATTTAACAAAAATTAGATTACTTTTATAATCTTAATTTTAACCAATTATATCAAAAGGAAGAAAGATATGGTTCTCATATTTCAGGATAAGGTAATCAAAAAGTACTGTAGTATATATTAACGAATAAAATTAAATCAAGAACCCTACTTATCCCTGACCTGAAAATTGCTCTTAATACTTTGGCAAGATACAATTCAAGAAAATTAATTAATATATGATAGAGCTCACAATGTAAGGATTTGCATTTTTGACATCCTCAGCTGTGTATTTGCTGGTGATGGTGCCGCCGCTGAAGTCCACCATCTCAACCCGGAAAAGCTCGCCGGAGCGGACCTCCGCCACCGGCGGGATCTCCGGGTGCCACCGGTTGTGGAGGGGATGGGTTTGTTCCCATGGCTTCTTCTTCAAATCTATTGGGACAACCAATCTTGCACCAAATGAATTTTTACTACTCATTCTTGGAATTCTTGCAACTTGATTTATGATCTCAAGTGGGGTGGGAAAGAAATATATAGTCCATGTTTTACATGATTACATTTTGTTGTTTTGTGATCATCATTTTTTGTCCATTTATTACCTATTATTAGGTAGTTATTTATTTAGGATGAGGTGGTCCATATGGGTGACGGTATGCAGCTACGTATATATTCGTGCTTATTGAATATGGAGGGTTGATGGATCGTGTAGACATAAAATTGAATGGTCAAGATTAAATAAAAATAGTGTAAAAATTTTAGTATTTTTTAGGTTGATGACGACGTACATATTGAAATTATTAATTGAAATATAACATTAGACATTCAAGATTTGTCTATTTGTGTTGAGTACAATGATTTTACATTTAGTGTATCGATCTATATTGAAGTTAGCCGCGGAAGGGAAACAAAATCAACAACGTTGTTGAGGACTCCCGTTTGCGGGATATGTAACTAATGGCTTAGTTTCCCTAACAAGTTCGAGCTTTTAGGTGAGACGGTCATTAGTTTCCGACATGGTATCAGAGCCTAGGCTAGGTCTCGAGTTCGAGTCCCGGGCGTGTTGAGGACTCCCGTTTGCGGGATATGTAACTAATGGCTTAGTTTCCCTAACAAGTTCGAGCTTTTAGGTGAGACGGTCATTAGTTTCCGACAAACGTAAAAACGACACAAATAATTTACATGATTTTTATTACTCCTTCTGTCCACAGTAACAGTCACATTTATATTTTGCATCGTTGTACTTAACATTAAAAATATCTTTATATATATAATTTTTTTTTACAAATGCTCTTCTATTAGTATTATAAGACACTAAAGTATTTTTGTAATTTTTTCTTGTATTATATTTTGATATAATAATTAATATTTAAAGATCAACACCCTAAAAATAAATAAAACTCTTATAATAGAATTGAAGTAATATTATTTTTTTGAGCTACGTTCGTATGATAAACCCCAAATCTTCTAAAAAAAGAGTATACAAGATAAATTAAAAGCACATACTTGTTGTTAGGACTTGATCAACTTAACATTAATAGGATATTGTCATTGAGTTTGCAATGATTTTTTTTTTCTTTTTTTTTTAACTTCCTCCAAATATTAGCTCTTCTTCTAATATTTCAACATGTGACTTAGATTTACACTTCTACATATGAATTTTTCTTTCGTATCTTTGTAGATAAAGTCGATAAGATAGATATGATATTCCATAAAGTTGAGGATGCTCATCGCTTCTTTTATTTCCCCTTAGGCCAACAATCGCTATATAATACTCCCCCATCCTATATAAAGTGTTCGGTATTTCTATTTCGACACATTCTACATAATTTATTTTTTTAACGTCAAATTTGAAATAACCTATAATTTTCTTAATTTTAATTAAATTATTTATTTATCTTAATTTTAATTTATAATTATTTGTATTATATCATAATTATTTTTACTATAATATACTGTACTTTTTAATTACTAATCTTTCTAAATTTCATATGTACAGCAATATTTATACATTACTTTTTAATTAATGACATTATGTGTTAAATTGTACGGAAGGCCCAATAGCCCATTTTAATCAAACCCAATATAATATATTCAAAGTTGGGCTAAGTCCAGGGCCTTAGTATGGCCCATAAAATTTTAAAACCAGACAAAGACTGTTTCAGTCAGAAACGCATGTAGCGTATTTCTATTTCATATTTTTTAATTTTCTTTTATCCAAAAATATATAAGCCCGGTCCAGCGGGCATAATTCAATTTATGGGCCGGATGCCGGGCTACACTGGTTTGGACCGGCCCGTCTGAACAACTTGATTTTGTGCGTAACTTTTCTTACAACAAGTTTATCCAGTTTTATGCAATAAAAATAATGAGGCCCATCACATTATTGCAATGCTTAATTGTGGCTTTGTGTAATAATAATACGTACCAAAGATGTCCCACTTGAAGCCAGCCGAGAAACAAGGTAAAGTTGGAATTTATAGATGTAATGATAACAAAAACAAAAAAGAATAATTTTTTAAAATAAAATAAAATAAAAGATCGAATAGTGTCCAAAATAAATAAAATAAAATAAAAATGAAAGTGAAAGTGATAGGTTATCAAAAAGCAGCCCCAATATATCCACAAAGAATCCGACGGTTCAGAAATGATCATCCGCGGAAACTAGCAGCCGCTATCGCCCAATACTTTGGAATCTGGGGGTGCTCATACGTCACCCACCCACCCACGCACGCACCACTCAAGTAGGCCCCACGAACAATCTCCTCTTAACTCCAGCCATTAACACATTTGGAAGCTCCAACAGATCTTCATCGTTCAAAGTGTGTACTCAACGGTTTAGATCTATTCAGTATTTTTAGTCCGGGACCTTTTACTAGTTAACACGTCATCCCACTTTCGCTATCCCGAACTACTAATGGGAAATGTTTCCAGATCCTGGACTAAAGAACCTTAAAAGATCGACGCCGTTGATAGTGTGTAATCAACGGTGTGGATGAAACAGGTTTGGGGAACCCTGGTGCTTGTTAAAAGTTTAAGATTTTCTCTTTCCCAAGTTTCCACTTCCACTTTGTGTATTATTTATTCACCATTCTTTAGAGCTCTGATATTCTTCTTCCGGGCTGTTACCTCATCTCGTTCCTTGCAACGGAAGCAGCTCCCTGATTGGGTCTCCGATCAATTCTCCGGCGGTCGGAAAGCGTGGCTGACGGAAAACGATGAGCTGCAATGGCTGCCGCGTGCTGCGAAAGGGATGCAGCGATACCTGTATTTTGAGGCCATGTCTGCAGTGGATCGAAACCGCCGAAGCTCAAGGGAACGCCACCGTCTTCGTCGCCAAGTTCTTCGGCCGCGCCGGACTCATGTCGTTCATCTCCGCCGTGCCGGAGAATCAGAGGCCTGGTGTGTAAATTAATTAATTGATTAGTTGATCTATCTTTAATTTGGTATTGAATCGGATTCAGATCTCTTTTTCATTAGTTGATTTGGGGATTTTGTTTTTTATTTTCAGCGCTTTTTCAGTCGTTGATGTTTGAGGCCGCCGGAAGGACGGTGAATCCGGTGACCGGCGCGGTGGGGCTTCTCTGGACCGGCAACTGGCACCTCTGCCAGGCGGCGGTGGAGAGCGTGCTCCGGGGGGTTACGTTGAAGCCGGTGGTGGAGCTCCTGGTGGACGGCGGGGCGGGGAGCTCTGACGACGCCTCCGAGTGCGCTGACATGTTCAAGTTCCGAGATCCTGGTGTTGGTCCGGGACCCAATGTGGTGAAACGTCGCCGTTTTGCGGATGAGACTGCTGCCGAGTCCACAGCGGATCTTGATCTGTCCTTAACCCCTGACAGAAGCTCCGGCGGACGCCGCCGCGCCGCCTGGGCTGAGAAGCGGCGTCCCGGGAGCCCGTCGATGAATTCCGATGAATCTGAAACGACGACGTGTGGAGATCAGCCAAGGCTTCTGAATTTGTTCAATTAGATGAAATTGAAGAAACTTTTTTCAAAAACTGTAAAAAGCCGCTCTGATTTAAGGGCGTGTTTGTCTTGGGTTACCCGGAAAATTAAGTTTTTAATTTTTCCGGCGAGGGTTTCGCATAATCTGTGGCACAAGATTTCCCTGTGAACAAAATGGAGGGGAAAATGAATGTATCGCCATTGATTCCTTTCTTCCTTGTTTCTGCAACTTCTTTTCACTTTAATCTTCCTTTTTCCTTTTTATTATTATTATTTTTCGTAAAGAACTTTCCTCCTCTATCCTTCATCTACTAACTATTGGGACTTGAATAATTGAACTTGCTTTTAGCCTTTTTTGTCCACTTTCTGGAATTTAAATTTATACACACACACATCTAATACATATATATATAGATGTATGTATATGTGTATATATATTGAGAAATTGCAAAAATTAGGGTCTTTTTTTAACATTTCTGTTCTTTATAGTCCACTCGCTCTCACGTGATGATTCTTTGAGCTCCCGGAGTTGTGACCCCTGAAAAATCCAGGCCGTAGATTGAGGGATCTTAATATTTATATGCAATCTTGATGTCGCTGGTCCCTGGACTGGGAGTTAACCTAGGAGCTGTGTTCTCCATTTTCCTTCCACTGGAATGCTAATATCTAAGAATTTTGGCATTTTTCCACTAATTCACAAACTCCACAAAATATTGAAATTTGATTTTATGAATTTTGAAAACCACAAGGCTTAAAACCCTAACTAGAAGTAAAAAAACGGGACCTATAACAACCAATCACGAATTTTTCTAAAACAAAAAAAATTAATAAAATAAAAAAAAATTAAATACGAAGATGATTGGTGAAAAGTACAATACATTAAGGTAAAACAAAGGAAACCGTTACAAATTGAAAATTTTGAACTAAAGAAACATATCCTTGTACAAACTCACGTATAAAACATTAATACATTGACAAATATTAGGAATTATTAAATGTTTAAATTTTCTTTTTGGGCATAAGAAGTCCAGAGTAAATAAATATTATACTCTCTTCTTTTCTATATTTATATATCCATTTATTATTTCAAGTTTTAGAAATATTAGTATTAAATTGGAATATAGTATAAGGAAAAGTAAAAAAACTAAATTGCAAATTTATATTGTAAATTGAAAGGGTATTTTTAATGTTAGGTAAACAGTACAGTTACTAAAAAAAAAATAAATAGATATTTTGTCATAGGACGGACAAAAATAAAAAATGAATAAATTGTTAAGGAAGGAAAGAAATATTATAATAGTGGAGGGTATATATATATATATATTACAACACTTTTTTTTAGAACACTTTGCATGCATGCAAGGTGGCTGTGGAAGGCCAACTTTTATGACAAAATGACACATGAGATTACTGTAAGAGTGGCGTGGAACTGCTCTACTGTCTACTGAAGCCATAGAATCTTTCTTTTAATTATTCGTCACACATTAATTAATGAATTAATTATTAATTACTGATTAAGTAAAGGGTGGATATATTATATATATCCCCTGAGAAAACTTACCATTTAATTATTATATAGTATTTTTTTTATATTCTAAAGCTGAAGCTAGAGATGAATTTTTAATTGCAAAAAAAAATAAATATATATATATATATTTGTAGGGTCTATTACCACTAATTCTTTATTCAAATATACTTCTAATTAACTGACTTAATTATCTAACAATAAATAGTTAGCGGTAGGGAATAAATTCTGTCAACAATATTTCTTTTACATGTACAAGTGTAATAGTAACTTAAAATAAATAAATAAATAAAAATCAATATAAAACACATCATAAATAAAAATATATATATAATATATATCTTCGAATTTTCGATACACGTGCCGTGCATCAAAATGCCTTAACAGGTTTTAATGATGGAAACGGCTAGCAAAACATAAAAGATTCGATCCGAATCAAACTCTAATTTAAAATTTTGGTTGAATCGGTTCCAATTGAATATTTTATAAATTTAAAACAGGAATATATATATATATATTTTAATATATTTTTTTTATTATTCTATAGGAATATATATATGTTAATAAAAATAAAAATTCAAAAATTATTAATTATATTTTAATCTACTTATTGTTTATTTATTATATATATTTAACATTATAAAACAATTATAAAAACATAAAATAAAATTTAATTTTTTTAAAAAACTAACTAAAAAAAATAGAAATTAAATATTTTCGGTTTAATTTTAATTTTAATTTTTTATTTTTTGGATTTCGGTTATTTCGATTCAATTCAGGTTTGGTTTTTTCCAAATATTTGAATTTACAGGTCGGTTCAAATTTATTTGGCAATATCCAATGTTAGCCCATACTCAGTGGTATAGACTAGAGGGAAATTGTTTTTCTATTTTTTTAATAAATAAATAGTTTTTGTATTGCATGTTTGTTTGAATGATTTTAATTATTTATATGTATTGTTTAAGATAATAAATTCAAATTTTTATTTATTATTTTATATTTAAAATATCAGATAAATTTTTATTGATATCACATCAAATAATTATTTAAATTTAAAATTTTATTGTTTAAATTAAAATCACAAATATACATATTTTTTATTTTAAATTATTTAGTTATAGAGTAACTATTTCAAATATAATTTATTTTATTTCATCATCTTTTACAATCACATCGTTAAAGACAATAATAATATTAAAGACAAAATTATCTTTACATTCATTTTAATACATTTTTATTAAAACTCAAATAAACTATTTGAATATACAAATGATGAGGAAGGGTGGATAATGGTACTTGTGATGCGGTGGTGGTTGGACACCTAATTGCAATAAAAAGGACACGTGGCGCCATTACCATCAACACTAACCATCCTACGTAACCCCATAAATATATATATATATATATATAAACAGTCAGCTCAATCCATACCATACAACAAAATCTACTACAGAGAGAGACAGGGACATAATTGAAATGGAGAAGAAAGCAGAGGACAAAAAAGTAAATACGGAAGGGCTTCCAATAGAAACCAGTCCGTACACGCAGTCGAAGGATGTTGAAGACTACAAGGAGCGTGGCTACGGCACCCGTGGCCACCTCACCCCCAAATCCGGCCCCCCCGCCGCCGGTTCCACCGATGCTCCTACACGCGCCACCACCGCCGCCGCCGCCGATACCACCAAGCTTCCCGAAGCTGAGCTCTCTACTGCAACTGATCACCCCACCCTTAAATAGCTTGTCTCGTATTCTGTTCTGTTCTCTGTGTAGTATTTATTTACTTATTACCCTCTGTTTGTTTTAAAAATAATACTGGGCTTCAAGTATATTTGTTTTTATTTCTAATTATATTATTATTAATTAAAAATTATTCTATACCATATGTATTTAATGTTTTTTTTAATATCTGTCAGAGATAAAACTTATCATCTGTTTGATTTGATTTGAGTGGGCTTGGAATAACCCGAAAAAAGCTGTGTTTCCAAACTGATGTATTGAGAAGCGATCCATTAAAGTTTGATGGGCCGGATCGGATCAGGTCCATGTCGGCCCGACCCGTAATGGCGAACCTTATCCGTTTCGAGTAAAGTTAGATTTGATCGTCTTTTTCAATCAAAACTCGTTTTTAAATAAAAGTGACCGATGGCAAACGGAGCCACAAAAATTAATATATATAAATTAAAAATAATTTAGTTAAAGAAAATAGCGAGTGTCGGAAATTGAGGCTTAGTGACATTGCAAGCATGTGCACAGCTTGCCTATTTCCTCCCATTTCCTTTATCCAAAATTAAAATACTAAGAAATTTTGAGGGAAATGAGAATAAAAAATAAAAATATCCCTCTTTATTTATTTATTTTTGTTGAGACAGAAAAATAATTAAAGAATGCAATAGGTGTATTTATTTATTATACATTTAATTTTTTTTAATTTAATTTGTGTTTCTTTGTTATTATTATTTAACTTTTATAATTTTATAAATATTTAATATTTATAAAATATTATATCAAATTATTACTAAAATAAATTATCACACTAAAAATACGATTAAAAAAAACAATAATATTTATTTTTTATTCAATTTATATTTTTTAGTGATTTTTTTTTTTCAATAAGCAATCTAACTTTTCGGTCGAGCTTGGTTTGCAAGTTCAGCTGTGGTTTATCCGATATATACTTTCGAATAGCAATTGCGGATTTTCACATCCTAAATAAATAAATAAATAAAAGAATTCTTCATTCTTCCTTGAATTTTTTTTTTTCTTTTACAATTTTATTATTTACGGTCATTTTTCACCAAAAGCAAAGTAAGCAGTAATTTATTTACTATTTATTGCGGACTTTTTCAAACTTTCTTTTTAAAGATAAATCATATAAAAATATTGCTTAAAACATCTTCATATTTACCAAAGTTGATATTTAGATATTTATTATTTTTAAAATATTTTAATTATGTATACACTTGTGCAGCATAGCACGGATTTAAATGCTAGTTATATAAATATAAAAATAAAAATATTTTTATAGTATTTTCAAGATAAAGTGTTATTTGATTTTTATAAAAAATATAAAAATAAAAAATTGATCTTTATAATTTAGGTTCATATTTATCGTCAAACACTAAGTTTGGACAAAAATAATATTTTGTACAACTTTTAGTTTAGCACAAAAATATATTACATAATAAATAAAATATGAAGTATTTTATGAAATTTTTTTATAAAATTGTTATATAAATTTAACAATTTTTTTTTTTATCATAAACTTACATGTTATGCTGTATTTGATCCCGTAAATAATGTGTTTTATAGAAAATATTAAATGAAATAGTAAAAATATATTACTCTATCTGTCCAGGTCCAAATGGACTTTTTGGAGTTTTGTAATAAATTAATGAATAATAGTATTTTATTAGTCAGTGGAAGTGTGTAAGATATTTTGATATTTTTGTCAATTTTATGTAACAAATAATTATATGTGTAATTGTATATCTGTAATTTAAGTAGAAATTAAAGGTATTTTGATATTTGTGTATGATTATTTTATTAAAATTAAAAAGAAATTCTTTGAAATTAGACGGATAAAAATGATAAAAAAAAATACTTTAAATTAAATTAAGTTAGATATAATATATTTATCTAGAGCACATTTAATTAACTAGCTATTACGAATTCTTGCATTATAAAAAATATATATTATTGATTTTTTCGTATCACCAATAAAAAGCCAATAAATATAATGCTAGTTGTCGTATATAAATACTTTTTAAACTATATATATATATATTATTAATTGGATGATTGCCCAATGCCATAAATTCATACCAACTCATCATCCACAATATTTTAAAACGTCCACTTAAATTTTGAATATCATCGTTTTAATTTTAATTATAATAAAATAAAGTAACCCACCATCTTACAACGTTAATAATATATTATGACTATTGACGAGATTAAGCACTACATTTGACCTTTTACACAACCCAAATTATTTGCATTTGTTTTCAAAGCGTGACAACACTACAAAAAAATAATATATTTGTAACGAAATTTCGTCCCAAAAGTTCACGTAGCTAACGTAATTTCATTCATAATTTCGTCTCTAATATCATTAGTAACGAAAAAAATAGATTTAGAGACAAAAAAATTTTGTTACAAAAATGATTTTTTCTTGTATTGCAATTCACTATATATATATATATATATATGAAAATTGTTACTATAATAAAATTAAGATCAATAATGCTAAAAATATTAATTTTATTTCAAACATTAAAATAAACATGCTTTCAAGTAAAAAAAAAATAAAAAATAAAATAAAATAAAACTATACATACAATATTTTAATATAAAATATTATCGATTGCAATTCAGCATAATATAACATATAAAATAGCAATTTAAACATATATAAAAAAAAAAAAAAAAAAGTACACCCAAAGAAGCAAAAAAGTATACATTTAAACAATTTAATAATATAATTACTATATTATCCTTATTTAATTTCAATCCTTTAATATTATAAATGTACAATCCAACCGTGAATAGTAAATCAGTAAAGTGTTGACATATTAGCACTATAACAGCCGAAATAATAAAAAAAATTAAATTAATTTGGTATTTTGTTAAAAAATACATATTTAATAGTATAATATTTATAAAATAAATAAATAGTACTCCATCCGTTCCAAACAAGGTGCATCATTTATTTTTGGCACGAGTTTTTAGGTGGGTAGTATTAAGTATAATAATTTAGAAATTAGATGATCTGATAGAGAGAAAAATATTTATTTTATTTTTCTATTTAGACGATGTGAGAGGATAAAGTGTAGGGTAGATATTAGGTATAATTAATTATTTCATATTTTGAAAATATTGCAGAGTGTAGGGTAGATATTAGGTATAATTAATTATTTCATATTTTGAAAATATTGCAGAGTGTTTGGGATATATCAAAAAGGAAATATTGCACGTGTTAGAGTGAGTATTAATTTACAAAAGAGGTTTGATTGGATCAAAATTCTTGATTAAAAGTTTTGGCCTATGTTCACTTTACCTTCGTTGGCAATATTTTTAAAAAATTTTATACTATTTATTTATAACAATTATGTAAAACATATTACATCAAATATATATTTCACTAAAAATTATTTTATTTTTTTTATTTAGTGATATTTAATTAAAATGAAGCTAGCTCCATTAAAAGTCTATATATATATTTTTTTATTATTTTTACAAAAAAAAACATTTTACAAAACTTCATTAAAAGTCTATATATTTTTTTACCTGTCTTTATAATAGAGCTAAAGTTAAAATGACATTAATTTGATATTTTATCTTTTTCTATGGAATGATTCTGATATTTCGATTATGCATATTTGTAAAAAATAATTATATAAATAAAAAATAGGAGTCAAGTATGAACAAAAAGGCATATTACATGGCTGTCCCCAGTCGATGCAAAAATTCATAGTATAATTTTTCTGGTCCGAAATCTGTGACTCATACCAACAAATATAACACTACTCCTATATTCAATTCCATTAACTAATTAATTAATTAATCCATCAATTTCGCCATGGACGAAATCCTCGCAGACGACGGCGACGCCAATTCCGCAGCGGCGTCCGACGATGAGGAGGCGCTTTCCCTATCCGACCTTCCATTAATCCATCAATCAAGGAAACAGATAGCCGCCGGATCGGAAGAAATCGTCGGCGCCGGACAAACCCAATTGGAGGACTTCGACTTCTGCTCAAAGGAATCGGAAATGTGCGCCGCCGACGAAGTCTTCTACCGAGGCCAGATTCTCCCGTTCCGCCACTCCGGCAAGCGCCCCAATCTCAGCCGGTCGGAATCCATGGACTGCAACTCCTCCGGCGGGATAGTCACCAGCCGGAGCAGCAGCATCCGGTCGTCCAGCAGCGGCAGCTCCTCCGCCACACACACCAAACCGCACCTGAATCCATTCCACTCGCTCCCGAGCCCGTCGCCGAAGCTTCCCGGCGGCGCGGCGGCCGGAAGAACCAACCGCCGGAGCTGCGCCAAAAAAACTTCCGCCTGGAACATCTTCCGCCGCGGATTACTGACGACTCCGCCCAAAATCGCGTTTCAGGATCTGAAAACCCGCAGGAATTTGAAGAGCAACTTCGGCAGCCGGAACAGCAATAGCAGCAACAGCAGCTCCCTGAGCAGCAACAGCACCGAGAAGAAGACGACGGCGACGAAAGGAAGCCCTAATTTCCTGGGCGGATGCAACTGTGCGGTTGATACAGTTTCTTCTAATGTCGCGTTTATGAAGCGCAGCATGAGCGAAGGCCACCGCGAAAGTCGCGTTTTTCAACTGGAGGAGGAGGCGAATCTGCTGCTGCAGGCTGCGAAGTCTACGAAAAAGCGTGTTTCTCATCACCGGACATTTGAATGGCTAAAGCAACTCTCCGTTGAAGGGACACCGGACGAACTGTAACAACCCAACTGTATGTATGTATTTTGAGTTAATTGTGACATAATTGATTATTTTTCCTTTTTTTTTTTTGTGTTTCTAATTAATTTAATGTGTTTGTATTATTTGTTTTTCTTTTTTGTATTGTATAATTAAAAGTCTCAAATACTTGATTAATTAATCGAATAATCCTTATAAATTTAAAAATAAAAAATGCTTCCAGTTGAGAATTCAAATATATAAAATTAAATGAGAACATGCGTGAGTATTTTTCTGTTATAAATTATTATATATATATATACTGACATACATGTATATTGCATTGCTGAAAATTTCCAAGACCGTTGAAATTTGTGTCATTGAAAGCAATGAAGAAAAATAAAGTCATTTCGGTGTATAAACAATTTTCCATTCTGTTTATATACAATTTATTATTATTATTATTATTATTTTTGACAATATACATTATCGGTATATTTTTTTTAGAAAAAAAAAGTTAAATCTATAGCTTTATAAAACAATATTAAATATTTATTTTTAAATTATTCTTATAATTTTTTAGAACTTTAAAAGTCATAAATACTTATATATTTAACTTATAAGTAACAAAATCTTAGAAAAATAAAGATATATATATGTATGTGTGCGCGCAAAAAAAATAACATAACAGCATTATTATTAAAGATACACTACAAAAAAAATTAATATATTTGTAATAAAATTTCGTCCTTAAAATTCATAAAATTCACATAACTAATGTAATTTCATCCATAAGTCTATCTCTAATGTCATTAGTAATAAAAAAAAAAAATTAAGAACATAAATATTTTGTTAAGAAAATGATAGTATTTTCTTATAGTAATAATAACTGCTAAAATTTATGTTGAGTTCTCTCGAATTATTATATATATATATAATATAATTTTAATTTGTTTTAGACGATAAGAGATAATTAAGGGGAAATGAAGATAGGCAGCGTGGAGGTTTTGATGATCCAAACTAGAATTAAATATAGATATACATACAAGTAGGAGAAGAGATGTGATGGTTACATGAAAATTTTGAAAAATAAAAATAAATAATAAAGATAATAAGGATGATAATGAGAGAGGGGAGCATGGGAATTGAAGGATAGGAATTGACAGGAGACAGCATAAACGATAAAGTTATTTTTATTTTTTAAGACGGGAAAATCGATAATCGTTATCCGAAAATACGCACTGAGTAAACTCTTGGTCCCGACCGAACCTAATGTCCTGCAAACTAGGTCAAATATGCAAGTCACACTGAACAAACCTGTTAAGTATCCCACATTTGATGTAATGTTGAAATTCCCTTACCTTATAAGGGGTGAAGGCTATTCCACTTACAACCAGTTGATTTTAAATTGAAAACCTAGATCTATGTCCAAGGAAATGAGGAATTATTGATATTTGGAAAGGTAAAGCTCAGAGAGGGAGGGAGGCCCATTTCATTATTGCATGGCCTTTAATATTTCATATCATCATTTACAATAGGGTAAACTGTTTCGCGTCGGAGGTGACGTAGCGACACCTAGCGGACACGTGGATTTTTAAATTTATTTTTAAATTTTTTTTATTTTGTCTAATTAAAAAAATAATTATAATTTTTCACTTATGGAACTAATTTGCGACATATTTATGAGATTAAAATGATAAAGGGTCCAGTCATGGAACTAAAAAAACAGTTTACCCTTTACAATAATAATAAATAATATCACATTTGGTGGTCCTCTGATTAGAAGCAAATTTTTGGATTTTTTGAAAATGTTCAAAACAATTAAAAATTAATATTAATAGGATATCCAATTAATTTGAATTTCAATTGTCCCATAAGATACAAAATTTGAATTAATTAATTTGATTGAAATTGGGATCGGCCCACGAGCCCCGCATTGGTGAGGCCCAAGGCCCAATCTGATAGACCCTTAGCATTATCCTTCTTCATCTTTCACTTTACACCCCAACAACAACAAAAAGTAGGTCGACACGAAAGATAAAATATTTTTGCAAACTCACTGTCAATAGCATGAAGCTCAGACTTGTCTGATCCCTAAAATTTGGATGAATTCTTTTTTCTTTTTTTAATTGTTATAAATAAAAAATACATAATATACGTAGGCAAATAATATTAATAATAATATACATGAATTTGATGGACGAAAATAGAACTAATTAAAATAAATACTTCATCTGCCATTCGATTTTAAGAGTCTCATTTACCTTTAATTTTGCGTTATTGTACTTAACATTAAATATATCTTTACATTTGTATAATTTTTTACAAAAATATTATTATAATAGTATTATAAGATACTAATAATAATATTTTTATCATTTTCCTTATACTATATTTTCATATAATAATTAATATCTTAACTTAAGTTTCAAATTTTAATCAACAATATTCAATTATCAAAATTTTTAATAAAAATATAACTGTTATTTTTTAAAAATATACTCCCTCCGTTCCAAAACTAGGTATCCGTTTGTTTTTTATACGTAGTTTCATAAATATTATTATTATATTAGAATATAGTAGGAATAAAGTATAAATGATTAAAATAACCTTATTAGTATGATGTGATATAAAGATAATGACATTTGTGTAATATAATGTAAGTTGTAAGAATATTTGTAATTTAGGTAGATAGTACAATTATTAAAAAAAAATGAAATTGATACTTTATTATAGAACATATTAAAATAGAAAAATAGATACTTTGTCAGGTAGATAATATTATATTAAAATATTATCAAAATTCAAATTCAAATAAAATCAATCAAATCGCTTGTACTAGTTAGAATAATATATGTAACAAGCATTTTTTATTTATACATTTTGAATTTATTTTACCTCTAAACATAATAAACTATCTCAAAATATCAGTAAATACAGTACCATTTATTATATCACTTTTTTTATAAATTGTAAAAAAAAATAAAAAAAATGGCATAATTATATTTGACGAACGTAGTATTTTTTTTTTTTTCTAAAAAATAATTATATTTGAACCATTTTCATATTAAAACTCAAAATCAAATTTTAAGTAAACAAATAATCACTCTTTGAATATTAATAAACACATGAGATCAATAGCACTATCTCCATCCACAATGTGTGTATTTATAGTTATTAGATCGTAAAATATAAAATAGTTATTGAAGTCCTTTTATTAAAAAAGATTTTTAAAAAAAATAAAAATGGAGATAAGTACATTTATTTACTTAATCATAACTATTGTTTGAAGTATGCTTAAGCTTGTGAAATGATATACTCCCTCCGTTCCACGTACCGTGTCTGCTACACTGTAGATACGGTATTTTAGCAGGAGTGCAATTAGTAGATAATTAAGAATGTATTAGTGAAAATAATTATTCGATAATATAAATAATTATAAATTAAAATTAAGATAACTAATTAGTTTAATTAAAATTTTTAAATAAATAAAATTTAAAAAGTTTAAAATGAGATTAAAGTGTGTAATCATTTTTCAAAAAACGAAAATAACATGGTATGTGAGACGGATAGAAACGGTAACGTGGATATAGTATGTGGGACATAGGGAGTAATATTTTATATTTTCTTCAAATTCAAATAATTTTATATTTCGTGGAATATAAGTGTGTATCCGGTGAAATGTAAATAAATGATAGTGTAAATGATATTTCATAATTCCGAGACAATTTTCCGAGTCCGAATTCCTTTTTTTTGGTAGTGTAAATAAACAATGATGTAATATTTTGAATATAAAATATATTTATAGTATAATATAATATAAAAAAAATATTTAATTTGATGTTTTTTTAAAAAGAAATCTTTGTATAAAAATTCATAAAAGAACACGATCTAAACGTACGTACGATAGACTGTGTGAATATCAATTTTTTTCGAATATGTCAATAAAAGTTAGTTAAAGAGGAATAAACCACACGTAAATAATAACTAGAATAATATATAGTTGACTTTCATTTAACAAGAGAAATATTAATGAAAAATAAAAAGTAAGAACAAATTACGGGACATTATAAATTAAATACGTAAAAAATATCTGGCAACTCAAAAGAAAGTAGGCAGGCAATTGTACTAATGTTCACGTGGCAGTTGGCATCGTCGTCTTTAATGTGATGTCTCTATCTCTCTCTCTTTATTTCATCAATTGCCATTGACACAGAGAGAGAGAGAGATAGATAGATCGACGATCATGGGGGTGGCGGAGGAAGCGCACAACGTCCGGGTGGTCGGGTCCGGCGAGCCGACGGTGGTGCTGGGGCACGGGTTCGGCACGGACCAGTCGGTTTGGAAGCACCTGGTCGCCCACCTGGCTCAGACCAACAAGGTCCTCCTCTACGACAACATGGGCGCCGGCACCACCAACCCCGACTACTTCGACTTCCACCGCTACTCCTCCCTCGAAGGCTACGCCCACGACCTCCTCGCCATCCTCGACGAGTTCCACGTCACCAACTGCATCTTCGTCGGCCACTCCCTCTCCTCCATGACCGGCGCCATCGCCTCCATCCTCCGCCCCGACCGCTTCCTCAAGCTCATCCTCATCTCCGCCTCCCCCAGGTCCCAATTAATAATAAATTATTTAATTTTAAAATTTATAAATTTAAACTTTTAATTATTTTATAACAGGTTTTTGAACTCTGAGGATTACTACGGCGGGTTCGAGCAGGAGGAGGTGGACGAGCTGTGCAGGGGGATGGAGGCGAACTACAAGGCGTGGGTGGGGGGGTTTGCGCCCCTGGTGGTGGGGGGCGACATGGAGTCGGTAGCGGTCCAGGAGTTCAGCCGGACGTTGTTTAATATGCGGCCGGACATCGCGCTCAGCGTTTTCAGGACAATATTCAACTTCGACCTCCGGCACTACCTGGGCCGCGTGACCGTGCCCTGCCACATCATCCAGAGCTCCAGGGACCTCGCGGTCCCCGTCGCCGTCGCGGAGTATCTGCACCAGAACTTCGGCGGGAAGTCCATCGTGGAGGTCGTCTCTACCGAAGGGCACCTCCCGCAGCTCAGCGCGCCGGAGATCACCATTCCCGTCCTGCTCCGCCACATCCACCACGATATTCTTGATGATTAAATTAATTAATTATATATATATATTATATGTATCGATCGATCCTGAATCTTTACAAATCGATGTTCATCAAGCTAAGCTGTTTTAATTAATTAATATACTTAGTTTACACAAGGTATAATACGTACGTGCCTAGGGTTTGTTGTAGTGTTTATGTTGTCCCAATACCAATGTGATTAAAGCTTGTAACCTTTGATTTTGCTAGTAAGAATTTACGGAGTGTTTAACTGTTTTGGGTTTTAATTTTTAATAGTAAAATTTTGATATAAATATATATTAATATAATATTTTAAATGTAAAATTAAATTTTAGTCTAATAAAATAAATAAAAATTAGATATTTAATTTAATATTTTTTTAAAAAAATAAAATTAAAATAATAAAATCAGACTAAAATCGTGTTTTATTAATTACAGCTATGTATGCGTGACGTGGTTATTTGGAGAAACACAGATTCTATAAAAATCTAAGCCAGCTAGGGTGTAGTTAAGTAATACTGCCTCTGTCCGTGCGGCAAGTGATCAAGGTCAGAGATTTGAATCCATGATCTCATGTTACAAATCCAACTCTTATACCAACGCGTCATTACTTACGGACTGAGAAAAAAAAAAAAAAAAAAAAAAAACCTATTGTTTTGGGAGATAGTTGCTAGCTTTGTACAGAGACGGAATAAAATGTAAACCCTAAAATTAAAAATAAAAGATAAAAAATGATTCGGCAGACACTCTCCTCCAGAATCTTGATTTGCTCAATAAGTTCAGGAGGACACGTGTCAGTCAATACAGTCTTTGGGAACTCGGACCAGCTTGATAGAAAAAAGCTACGATTCTGAGGATGTCCAGGATCCCAACGCCGATCATCAGAAGTCCGCCACACAGATTGATGTGGCGTAGAGACTCCGGGACCTTGGGAGTTTATCACACAAGTGTTAGAAGTCGTCGTCGGTCACCAAGAGAAGATAGAGAGATACCTGCAGCCCATTCTTGACTTTTACAAAATCAGCCAAACAGGGCATTAACTGCTAAATAGGTAGGGACCACAGTTTGCCAGCCCAAGAAAATAGTACTGTAATAGTATTTCATTTTCTGCATTCAATGTGACTGAAAGAAAAATGTCAGGTGGTGATGGTCCTGAATATGATGGATGATATAATACGTGTTCATTTTTAAGCTCGTGGGCCTTGTGATTGGCTAAGTGGGCTTTTACTACGTAATGGGCCTTTTCTATTTTGGACTTTGACCCTATTAATACAATGATGGGTTAGACTATTTCTTCGTGAGAACCTTTTATTTATTTTATGGGCCTTACCATTTCCGCCCAGCCCATACATACTAAGGGAGTATTATTTTTAAAACAATAAAAGAATGCACAAAGCACAACCAAGCAAAGTCGTGAATAAATAAGGGTGTGTTTGTTTTGTATTTTTAATTTGATATACATTTTTTATATTATGTATGAAAATTGTATTGATAATATTTTATATTAAATTATTATAATAAATATAATGTATATCCTAATATTATATTTTTCTAATCATACCAAAAACTTTTCATTGCAAGAATACTCTCAAAATTTATTACATAATTGAAATAATATGACATAATACTATTGAAGCATAATAGTATTGAAGTATGTGCACTGAATCATTTACATAATTTACTACAGTATAGGTTAGTAAGTGCATATGCTTATTAAAAATAGAAAAAACGTGCAGTTTATAGTATGGGATGTTTTCAAGTTACAAAAGAATAATAGAAATTTAATTGAAATGAATATTATTATACTTGATATTTTTAAATTATATTCTCACTGTTTCTTAAAGTATACTTAAAATTTTTAAATACAAAAATTATAAAAAATAATATTCTTTTATACCTTTTTGTTGTCGTAAAAAATCACCTTCGGCAGCTTAATTGAAAGCCTGCCAAAGTTGATTTGTTCGAAAGATTTCTCGATCTCTTTTAAAATGATTCGGGCTATTTCGCAATGATAAAAAAGTTAATATAAAAAGAAAGTAAAAATGAATATAATAATAAGAAAATAAAAAGTTAAAAGAAAACTGGAAATTAATAAAAGAAAGTCGTAAAAATGTATTGTTCTATAGAAAATAATTGAAGAGAAAAAATAATTAAAGAAGAAGACGAATAAATGCTGTGTGTTTTTTGGCCCAGCTCTCCTTGATTTTCTTTAATAACTCCAAAATTGTTATTCTTTTGAATTCCTTTTGGAAAAAAATCTTCTATCACTTTTTTCTTCAACAACTTTAACTTTCACCATCTTTTATATGTTGACGACTCCAAATGCACCAGGCCGACTCAGTGGGTTAGTCAGGTTCGCAGACCCACTCACTGATCTGGACCTTCTACTGAGTCGCGAACCTCAGAGGGTTTGGGCTACACTTGTACTGGACCGTTCCGATTAATATTGGGTGTATATAAATGTCCCCCACAAAATCATCTAGACAAGAATCAACTCGTGGTCCTGATGATTTTGTCAAATACCATCATGTCTTCCTTCCTTCATTCCAGCTTCCAAAGAGAATGATGAAACATTTTAAGATATTTCCATTAATAAACACCTTCATCTCTTCTTCTTCGGGTTCCATCAACCTATATGCGTCATTAGGTGACTTAGCCAATATGATAAACAAACCTTCTCACGTGAGGGACCACTTCCCAAACTTTACATCTTTGGAGCCTTCCGGGAGGACGGCCTTGCAGACCATGTTACCTTTCTAGAAGGTTTGGGGCCTCACGTGCTTCTGGAAGATCGATGCGACTTTCTTCTTTTGATGTCGAGCAAAATGTCGAGCTTTTGGAATAAGGTCTGTTTGAGCACAAACTTTTTCGGAAAGAAATATGTAATATAAATTATGATTTACATTATATATTTGGAATAAAATATGCAATATTACATTATATATTTGGACGATGCCATATTCCTTATTAGATTAGATGTCACTTTCTTTAGTTTAGCAGCTCCGGTATCGGTAGCATTCACAGCTGATTCCTAAACTAATAACCATAAAGCAGAGACAGAGAGAGGAATGAGTACCACAGACGAGCTACTAAGGCAGAGAGATGCTAAAAAAAAAAAAAAAAGTTTAAAAGGAAAAAAACCTCAAAATTCATAAATTGCAAAATTGCAAAATTTTAAAGAACCGTGGAGTCCATCTTGAACTCTTTTATATATTTATATATATATATATATGATACGATAAGATATGATATGATATGATGATTATATTTAATTAAATACTAAAAGCAAAAAATGTATATAAAAATTACAAAAATTTTAAAATTATAATTTTACAAAACAAAAAAGATAAAACCGAATACACTGTACACAACAAATTTAAAATACAACCATAAATTTGCAACGTGGTTTGAGTTTGAAGATTTGTAAAAATACTATATTATAAAATGAAATATATTTTCGATAAACATAGACTAAAGACTGAAAGATTTGTTTGTTTATGATTTAAACTTTTATTTAAATAATATTTTATAAAATTACGCACTCCTTTGGAATTAAAATGCTAAATTGAATAAATCCTAAATATGTAGTAATAACAAAGCGTGTGTTTACTTGTCAGATTATATGATTTTTGTTTTGGTTTTGAATAATAAAATTTTGAATTAAAATAGTTATTTGATGTGATATAAATATATATTGATGTATGTAAAATTGAATTTTAGCATAATAAAATAAATGCATTTGATTTAATGATTTTGAAAAAAAAATTGAAATAGTAAAATTGGGAATAAAATTCCACTAATTTAGGGTGTGTTTGTTTGGGAGATTGGATTAGATTTCCACTATTCATCCAATTTTTTCCCCAAACACATCAAATCAAACACCTATTTTTTTTTTATATATTATACTAAAAATCAATTTTACATTCAAAACATCACATCAACACCTATTTATATCACATCATACAACTATTCAAATTCAAAATTTTTACTATTCAAAATCCCAATTCAAAATCCAAACCCCCCAAAACAAACACTCGTCTTTTCACTTTGCAACAAGTTTTTAGGGAGTTTCTTTTGCTAAGTAAAAAAGTCAATAAAGATTCACTTGAAACGGCTATATATTTATTGGTTCTCTAGAAACCAGATTAAAAAATACATATGGCGGTGGCGGTGGGGTGGCTAACGGCTCCTTTGCTGTCAGAATATGGCTCTGTCCCTCCAGCTACACTACCCTTTTTATTTTAGTATGTACACATGTCCGTCTGTTATTGGTCTGTCGTCCACCTCCAGACGATTGATTCGATTCGCCTCCCATACTGCCTGTAACAATAATTACTCTCATTAAAAAATAATAATAATAAATTAAAATTTAAAAAGATGTTGTATTACCGCAGGGTCACAGATCCACCCGAAAAGAGCCGTTGTGGACGCGGCGAGCCACATGGCGAGTGGGGTCCAGCCAGTCTGTTTGAATTCCCAGTACATCTGCGGGCCCACTTTCCTCTAACGTTTATTTTATTTAAATTTAAATTTTTCGGTTTTTTTTTTTTATATATAAATGGCTGTCTGTCTCACCAGTTCTCGCTCAGATCTCTTCCAATTTCTTTCTATACATTTCTATATCATCACAACCGCGTTTCTTCTACTCCCTCCACGTCAGCACTCATCCCCATGGATCGACGGTCAGGATTCGGCCTCGCGCTGATCTGTTTAATAGTAGCCTGCGTCGGCGGCCAGTCCCCGGCGGCTGCGCCAGCCAAAGCCCCTACCTCCGCCGCGACGCCGCCGGCCAAATCCCCTGCCGCCGCCCCCGCCGCAGCTCCTGTTTCCACGCCACCACACGTGGCCCCGACCAGCCCGCCGCCGCCCACCCCCGCCCCGGTTCAGCCACCGCCGGCTCCCGCCCCGGTTCAGTCCCCGCCTACTCCCACCCCGGTTCAGTCCCCGCCGGCTCCCGCTCCGGCGACCCCGCCGACGGAGTCTTCTCCTCCGGCGCCGGCGCCGAGCAGGAAGAAGGGCAAGCACGGCGCCCCTTCTCCGGCTCCCGAGCTGTCCGGCCCCCCTGCGCCGCCGTCCGAGGCTCCCGGACCAAGCGCCGGCTCCATTTCCCCAAGCCCGACGTCTCTTAACGATCAGGTGATTATTAATTAATAATATATATATATATATATATATACACAATTAGCAGCTGGATCTCATCCATTGTTTCCAGATCTTGAAGCATTTGAAGAATATGTAAATTTTAATACTGTCAATATTGGGTGGTTGCAGAGTGGAGCTGGGAAGACGATGATGGCAAGCTTGGCAATGGGATTGGCTATCTTTAGCTGTTGGCTATTATTCTAGAAGAGAATATTATTTGAATCTGATTCAATTTATTTATTACTTCATTTTTTGTTGGCAAATCTCTCACTCCTTTCCTAGTTGGATTTTTGCCACATTTTGGAGACCCCTGGTTTTTCTTTTTCAGATTTTTGGTGATCTCCCGTTGTATTGAATTGTTACGCACTATGAAATGATGTTACATGTGAATTCCATTATTATTAATAGTATTATTATTATTATTATTATTATTATTATGTCAATAATTTATAATTCATTCCATGGGCAAAGTATTCCAAATTAACAAAATATTGGGTAACATTTTGTAATTTTTATCATACTTTATTGTTAGCCATAATCTATAAAACAAAATTGAAACTTAAAATTTAATGAGATACTCTTAGAATTAATATACTTTAATCCGATTTGGTCCGCTATAAAAATGATATTGGACTATGAGGTTTGGGGCCTTTTTGGGTATTTATCTCTAAATGGGCCCAGATCTATTAAAGGCCCAAAACTAAAAGAGGCCAACCAAGTTAGGCAGCCATTTACGGTGTGATTGTTTGGGACTGGATTTTAAATATACTATTTATTTTATATTTTTTAAAAAAATATTAAATTAAACATTTATTTTTTATTTTTTATATTATACTAAAAATCAATTTTATATTTAAAACACTCATTCCATTCTAAAAATATAGTCTTATTGTATTAGACATGACATTTAAGAAATATTGATTTTATATTGGTAGTTGGTAAAAAAGTAAGGATAAATGACTTTTTGGCTCTTATACTCATATTAGTGTAAAAAGTAGTAACCATTGTGTAACAATAATGGAAAAATAGAGATAGTTTTACGGTGATATGATTATTTATGAAAATGAAACTATCATTTTGGGACGGACAAAAATGGTAAACAAAATTATTGTATTGAGACGGAGATAGTATATATTAATATAATATAAATCTAGCAAATAAACTAACAATAAATTTTTGTAATGTATATTAGTCCCAGATACCGTGTCTGCTACACTGTAGACACGGTATTTTAGGAAGGGTGTAATTATTAGATAATTAAGAATATATTAGTGAAAATAATTATCCTATAATATAAATAATTATAAATTAAGATTAAGATAACTAATTAGTTTAATTAAAATTAAAAAAAAAATTAAAATTAAAAAATTTAAAATGAGATTAAAGTGTGTAATCATTTTCCAAAAAAAGAAAGTGACATGGTATTCGGGACGGAGGGAGTATTTCTTTTGTCTGATCTTACTTGTTCATTTTTTTTGGTCTGTTCCACATTATTTATTTTTTTTTATTTTTAATAAATATAATTATAAATTTCAATTATATTTTTAATTTTATAATTTATAATTTTTTTATTTTAATTATATTATTTAATTATCTTAATTTTATTTATAATTATTTTTATTATATAACAATTATTTTTATTAATTAGTAAAAATAATATTATATATTAATTATTTAGAATGGACAAAAATAAAAATAGTAGATATATTAAAATTAAGTGAGACGAAGAGAATGAGTAAGAAGGAAACAATGCACGTGTACATAAGTTGCCCATGCTTAGGACATGCTCAAATGTCGCGCACCCACACGTTTCGTTATGTTCATTCAATTTCATATAAAAGCGTATTAATTAGATTTTTTTAATATATATATATATATATATTTTCAATTATAAGATTGAATAAAAATAATTAACAAAATGCAAATAACAAAATCTACTGTATTGCTTGTGATTTTACTTAAAACCATTTTTTAAAATTATACTATGGCTCGTTGTAATTAAATAAGGCTAGTATTTGAATATTACAATATATTTTGCACGTTGTAGAATTTTTATATAATTTGATAAATAAGTGTTGAACAATTTTTCTTATATGATAGTATTATAAATTTTAAACTAGGATATATATATATTTTTAAAATTATAATAATTAATAACTAATAATAATAAAAATTAACTAATGGATACTCCAATATGGAGCATGTGATAAAATTTATTTCCTCCTTCAGTCTCATTTTTAGTGGATTTTCGATTACCTAAAATACATAAGTATTCTTTTTTATATATTAAAGAAAGAATGATGAAAGAAAATTCACTAATTCTTCATCGTTATTTAATACTCTCTTCGTCCCATAAATATAGTTTTAATTGGGTTGGACACGAGACTTAAAGAATATTGATATTATATTGGTAGTTGATAAAAATATGAATAAAAGATCTTTTTGCCCTTGTGAGTGTATTAGTGTAAAAAGTAGTGGCAATTGTGTAATAAAAATGAAAAAGTAGGGGTAGTTTTATGGTGATATGATTATTTATGCAAATAAAGCTATTGTTTTGGGACGGACAAAAATGGTAAACAAAACTATTGTATTGGGACGAATAGAATATTATATTGCATAAAAATCTTTTGGACATAAGTTCGATGAAAATATTTATAAAACAAACATTAAAGAGTAGTAAGAGTGTAGGAGAATTAACATATATGAAAGGTATGAGGACAAATAAATCTTTTTAGTAATAACTGAATATAAGTTGTTGCAATTTGCTGGAATTCAAGCATTTTCAATTTTAATTTTATTGGATCAATAAACTGATTATTATACATCTTTTTCCAAAATAAGTTACCTTCATCCTGAATAAAATATATTTTTTTATATTTCATATTTAAAAAAATCTAAATATTTAATTTGGATAATTTAATTAGATTTTAAAATATTATCAGAGAACATAAATAATACATTCGGTCCGGGATAATCATGCCATATACATTACTTTATTGTCGTCTATTAAATTTATACATAATCCGTAAACAACTTTATTCACTTATAATTTTATTACATCTTCTTTAATAAATAAATAAACTACTTTACATCACATCATTACTTTTACACCAAAAAACAAGGTCAAAAATATCATTACATTATTTTTAACTGCCCATTATAATTAAAATAATATTATTTTTTAAACACTGCCCACTATAGTATATTTTATTTTGCTTTTATAGTAAAAAAATATATTAGTAATAATTATTACTTGCCTTTTAAAGGTAAAAAGTATCCAAAAAAAGTAATATATTTTTTTAACTTACTAGAAAATGAGAATATATATTAAAAAAAAATGAATATAAATTTAAATGTCTAACCAAGTATTATTTTTTAATTTGAGTATCCAAATAATATGATAAAAAGCGATTATTTCAACCAAACAAACGCACCCTAAGTAGTTGTCCCAAAATAGTTTTCTATGAGAGTCGGCAGTTAGCAGCACATGTGATTGACATAAAATTATGCTAAAAATAAACCTCACAACAACTTCAAAACATAGTTTACAGCACCATCAATCCATACATACATACATACATACAGTCCATCCACAGAAACATCACACCATGCTGTAATTATTCCATAATTTACTACAACTATAATTAGAAATAACGATACATATATATATATATATATTTAGACATTGGTCCATCGATGAAATGAGATCGAAGTACCTACATATGGAAAGTTTCGCCACGTCATCAATCCCCGGTGAGATAATCGGTCAATGAAGTCAAACACGGCGCTCGGGAGTCCAGTGCGGCGCCGCAGGGCTAAAGTGCGCCGACAACACGCGTGAGTCAAGCAGTTCAACTATGGGCGTGAATGTCACGCACCTCGGCGCCTTGTACTGGTTGATCGACGCGCCGCGCGAGATCGCGTAGTCCATCACCTCCTCGAACGTCCCGCCCTTCACCACCCGAATCTCCAGCGGCCCTACCGAGTTGTCGGCGACTCGGCACTGCCGGTACACCGAGTTCAGCGATTCCTCCATCGCCAGCGCGCAATTTGCCAGAACCTCCGGCGGCGGCGCGTGGGCCGGATCCTTCACCAGCAGCTCCCAGTACACCACATAATGCCCCGGAATCGTCCTCGTGTCGGCGAAGCTCGTGTACTCCGCCACCGTCGTCTCGAAATCGGCGATCAGAGACGACGCCCTCTCCACGGCAGCCTGGAGCTCCGACTCGTCGGTCTTGTCGGCGTCGATGCTGAGGAGAACGTTCTTCCGCCGTATGAACTTGAACTGCGGCGCCGAGTTATGAAACTCGGTGACCCGGAGGATGTCGCCGACTCGGTACCGGTTCAGACCAGAGTAGGTGGTGACAACCAGCTCGTACTCCTTCCCAACTTCCACGTCAGCCAAGTCCACCAGCCGCGGCGGCGCGTCACGTGACAGCCTCGCCGGGTTTTCCGAGTCATGGGGGATGAACTCGAAGTAGCCCATGTTTGGCATGATGGTGTATGACACGTCTTCGGGCCGGGCCATGGGCTTAAGATTGAGCCCGAAGTAGCACTCCGAGGAGGCGTACATCGTACAGGGTTTAGGTAACCCGCCGCTGTAGAAATCGAGGAGTGGAATATACTGCGCCATGGCGCCGGTGACGATGACGTCGAGGTATTTGGTGTTGGGCCAGATCCGGGTAATGATCCGCTCCCAGTTGTCGCCTTCACATTCTTTGGTAATGAACTCGGCCAGGGTCGGGTCGGGTCGGAGAATCTGGGCCATCCGATTTTTGATCGCGGGGTCGTGGATTCTAGGGTTTAGAGTTCCGGCGGCGATGTCGTCGGCGAGGAGGCGCCAGTTGGTCTGAAGGAACTTGATGGCGCGGAGGAGGCCGGAGGCGAAGACGGCGCCGAGGCGGAGGACGTGGTGGCGCATGAGGAGGCCGCAGAGCATCTGGGTGTACATGCTCTGGAAGGAGTCGCAACAGAGAATGGCCTCGTCGGGGCTGGTGTAGTCGTTGTAAGGGTCGTACGGACGGGTCTTGAACTGGTCGGATTTGTAGTAGCTCGTCAGGACCGGGCGGGCCACCAGGCCGCCGGGAGTTTTGGTCTCGGCCTTGATGAAGAGGAAGTAGAGGGCTTTCCCTTTGTCCAAATCTGGCACGTACCTGCACCAGTTACAGTGACGTTCATCTCATCACAATTCATATATATAAATTGTTATGCTGATGTTTTTAATATAATTGTTAATTCGTTCTTACAGGTTCATAACGGGCATGAGAAGGGAATACAGGAGTTGCCGGCGCTCCATCTCCTGGCTGATTGTCGGCATCAGCTTCCGTTCTCCGGCGGAAGTCCCGGAGCTGCAACCGAATTCATGTCATTTTCTTTGTCAAACTTTGATATATACATATATATATATATACATGTACTTTTTAAGTATAGGGTTTTTAATTTCCGATTTATTTTGTACTTCAATGTGATTATAGCATGAAAAACCATTTTGAAGAAGCCATATATTGATCCTTATCTTATCCACTATATATACGTGTGTGACTGTCTGGATATACACACACACACGCATTTTTGTTTACGTAATTTCAGTTTTAACTAAAATTAGAAACTAATAGTTTTAATGATATCTACTAAACTGAAACCACCAAAATATCTTCTTCTATAGTAATAAAACTAAACACATACATAAATATAAAATATTAACGTACCTTGTAAGGAATTCAGAAATAGGAAGGGAGCTTAAAATGGGAGAGCGATCGCCATTGGCTATACGCTGTATAAAAGGCTGAAGGTCATCGTAGCCGATGACCGGAACCCTAGATTTAAAGGTATCCCGGTCAATCGAACGGCCCAGATTAAACTGCTGCAGATACTCAGTGTCGGCATTTTGGACAAGTATCTCACCCAAAACCCTTTCCTGCACCACGTCAGTATTCCTAGTCATCTCCTCAATAAATTCCAGAGCCTTCGCGAATCTCTCAGGCATTTCCGTGACAGGCGGTGACGCATCCAAGCTGACAGCCATGGTTAGTTCGAATATAATTAATTCTATAATATATTGTAAGAAAGAAAGAAAGAAAGACAATTATATTGAGAACTGTCTGAAATATCTGAAGAAGTGCGAGGACGAAGGCCGGCTATATATAGCGGGTCGCACGTGCCACGTCGGACGGCACACGTGGAGTTTATGTCTACACTGGAATATATTTGTCACTGCGAGTGTGTCGTGGGGAGGGGACACGTGGGGCCCATATGGAGATATTGTCGCCGACACGCGGGGCCTTGTTGGTGCCACGTAGGCATTTTCCAGGTTGGGTATTTTTGTCGGGACATGAAGTCTGTTGGTCACGGACAACGATAGGCTGCCGGCAAACTAGGCATAGTTATCACTGTTTCTACCCTGAACCTAAACCCTATGGATTAATTATTTATCCATTAGAAAATAAAATTAATAATTAATTAATTAATTGTGTATTATTAATTGTCAATGGTGAAATAATTCAGTTTGTTTTGCAATGCTACCGGTTTGTCAAATAATGGTTTGGCGTTTTTATTAGCTTGTTTTTATTTATTTATTTAGGGTTTCTGTAGTTATCATCGCCATATATATATATATATATATCTATTGGTGGATTTTAAAAAATTCTGAATTATTGATCTGCATGCAGAATATATTATTAGGTTTCTTTTCTCATTGGAACTCAAAGTCATGTAAAAAAGGTATATACTGCGAATTATAAAATTATTATTATTATTTTATTATTTTGTAAAATTAAATTAATGTTTTTAGAAGAAAAATATATTATAAATTAAATAGTAAAAACATTAGTAGTGAAAACACAAGAATATATTTATTGAAATTGAAGTAATTTTATTTTATTTTTTTGTTATATGTTTAGCATGTTAGCCCAGCTTTACATAGCCATTAGTTAAATAGTTCATTTTGTTTGTAAAACAAGGTTACTGGAAATGTACATTAAATAATTATAAAACTTAACATTGACAATTAGCATAATTTTAGTGACTGTTATTGTCTATCACCTCATGAAAATTTGTTATTTATTTATTTTTAAAATTTCAAATACAAATCATAATTATTCAATCGATAAACACGAATTAGTCTGTTCACTCTGCGTTTATAGATAAATTGATTTTTTATTTATGATATGAGAAACTGTGTTGCTAATATAAAAAACAATATTTTGTGTTGAAATACTTGACTTTTTATGAGTGAATAATATATATATTATATTAATGTCTGTGCATATATGTATTTTTTAATAATATTTATGAAAAATTATTTCATTGAGAAATAGTGAGTGAACAGACTTATATCAAATCTTAAATAAAAAATTTTAATTTCAAATAAAAATAAAACAAACCCCAAGATTTTGATCATATGTACTTTTATGTATGAATTGTCAAGGAAATATATATCTGGCAATCTCAATAAATGATACATTGGCCACTGTAATTTTTATTTATAATTTTTTTTATTGAATTATATAAAGTTTTATTAGCTGTGGTCTCAAATTAATTTGAAATGAGATAGTGATTTAATTTTTTATTTAAATAATATTTTTAAAATAATATTTTGTGAAAAGAAAGTAATAATATATTTTTATTAAAAATCGTATAAAATAAATAGCGTTGATTTCAATTTAAAATTACAAAAAAACAAACTCTTAGCTACCGAGATAATTTCAATATATATATATATATATGTCTCTTGATCCCAAACATAGAAATTAACATTAAATATGATGGAAAATATAAGAGCAGCCTCCCAACATATATATGTTTATTCATAGTTTCACTCAAATTTTCTTTTATAAATAATTAATATCACATGGAGAAAATATTACTTCCTCCGTCCCAAACATCCTGCAATATTTCTAAAATGGGAAATAATTTATTATACTTAATCTCGATCCCACACTTTATCCCCTCGCATCATCCAAATAAAAAACTAAAAAATATATTTATCTCTCTTTCACATCACCTAATTTCTAAATTATCCTACTTAATACTATCCACCTAAAAACTCATGTCTAAAACAAATATTGCACCTTGTTTGGGACGGAGGGAAGTATAAAATAGGAAAAGCAAAGCAATAAATAATATAAATATTGAAAAAACAGAAAAAAAAAAGGAAAAACAATATTGAATTTTTGTCCCCTTTTTCTATATGGAATAAAAAGTTGATTTTTCCGTCGAGTCTGATTTGCAAAGTATTAGGTTCAGTAAAAAATTTGCCTAATGCGTACTTTCGGGTAACAATTGTGAATTCTCACGTCATAAAATAAATAAATAAATAAAAATGGTATCTCACGTGAATACTTATAAGGTTGCGTGCTAATCTCTCTATCTTCAGACACAATCACAAAGTCAATTTGTCAACTGCTCAAATTTTTGTATACATTCAAAGGATTTTATAAATTATATATATATATATATATTTTGAAATGCAAGTAGCATTCTACAAAGATATTAGTTCCTCAAAAAAAAAAAAAAAAAATCAATAACAGTAGTACTCAAATTGAATAAGTTTTTCAATCCCAAAAAAAAAAAGAAAAAAAAAATAATATATCGACATATCAATTAAGTTATAAAGAATTTATAAAATACTTAAATTATTTTTTTAATTGCTCAAACAATTAAAAACAATTCAATGAGTTAAAAGTATTGATTTTCAAACGCCCTCGTAAATAATTCAAATGTTTTTTTTTCTTGCATATGAAAATTATGATATGTGTGTTTTATTTTAGTGTAATTTTCAATTTCATAATTTTGAATAATTTTATGATTATGTTTTAATAATTTTATTGTTTCGAATCGATATTTTGAAGATTCAGTCATGGGACAAATATGCAATCAATTTTGTTTAAAATATATTTATATTTGTAGGAAAATGACAAAAAATTACTTGAATGTGTTTATACTCCTTCGTATTACTTATTGTAAATTGGTGTGAATAATATATGCTATTTAAAAGTTTTTATTTTTATTTTTTATGATAATTTATAAGATTTTGTAAGTTTTTATTTATGAATATTTTTTTTCTTATTTTTTTATCTAAAGGATTATACTTTATCTTTTTATTACTATAGATACTTTTTTATTATTATATTTGTTGCATTTATTTAAACTTTATAATATTTTTATATACAAAATATTTATACTTTTATTAATTTTATTATAAACATATGAATTATAAGTTTACACGCTAGTTAAATTTACAAAGAATGACTCACAAATTTAAAGACATCCTTTGTATGAGGCCATGACGACCACACAATCATTTATTTTAATTATGTAGATTAATGAATAATATATTTAAAATGTTTCTAAAAATATAGTATATATTAATTAAAATAATCCGTAGAGTTAAAATAAAATAGATATATGTTGGTAACTCTATGAAATGTAAGAGTTTCTTATTATTATGTTGTTTACTAAATTTAAAAATTAATATATTGATTCGAGAATATTTCAAGATTATTTGTCAAATTCCTAATAGTAAAATACAATGATTGTGGATTGAGGTAAGTATATAATTTTAATTATGAAAGTTGAACAATTCGATATTTTGGTCATTTAAATGGATGTTACATTCATTGAATATAGCACTCATCGTTGTTCTAGTAGTCATTCTTCCACGAGTAACGTTCACATGTATTACGGAAATTAAATGATCGATATATATATATATATATTGGCTCGGTTCACTTAACGTTTTTATTAAATAAATTGATTTTTAGTATATTGTATAAAAAATTGTATTAAAATATAAAATAATTTTGGAGAATCACAATTTAAAAATTGGCTTGGGCGAACATAGCCAATTTATATATTTACAAATGCACCGATGGACATTGGTGTGTTTTTATCATTTCTTCTTTCAAATTATATTATTTATATTTTATTTTTTTTTAAAAAAATATATAAGAAGATTATTTTATTTTTACATAAAATATCATATTAAATATTATTTTTATTATAAAAAAAAATTCAACTTCAAAATCCAATCCAAATTAAAAATAAATAAATAAAAGGGAAAAAATTATTTTTGGTCCTAATATAACCAAAATTCATAAATTATGGTCTAATATAAAAATCTTATCAATTTTAGTCCCAATATAAACAAAATTCATCATTCTTTTGTTCCAATATAACCAAAACTCATCATTTTTTATCCCAATATAATTTTTTTAATCAATTTTACAAAACTCATCATTTTTTGTCCCAATATAATCAAATTTTATTTTTTTTGGTCCCACCCTCAACAAATCAATGAAAAATGCTGACGTGGACCTGCAAGATTGTGCAATTTCTTCAAATATAAGTATAAGGTTTGATTTCTTTTCACGTCAACATTTTTTGTCGGTTTGTTGATGGTGGGACCAAAAGAGATAATGTTTGATTATATTAGAACAAAAAATAATGAGTTTTGATTATATTGAGACTAAAATTGATAAAAAAATTATATTGAGACCAAAATTGATGAGTTTTAGTTATATTGATTGAGACCAAAATTGGTAAAATTTTTATATTTAGACCAAAATTGATGAATTTTGATTATATCGAGACTAAAAATAATTTTTTCTCCAAATAAAAATACATAGATTTAGTTAATGAACATAATGAAGCAACCCTTCTTGTCATGTCCCCTTTGAGGGTTGTAAAGATCTTAATTCTTATGATTGCTAGTCTTGACTGTCTCAATATAGACACAACACAGTTGAAAATATTGTCAACGACACGGTCGATCTTAATTAAATTTCATCAACACTATTTTAATTAATTTGATGTTTTTGCACGCATATACAGGAATACGAAAATATAAACGTGCACACAATTTCAATACATATGTATGTACCCTCGAAATATTATAGTGCATGTTTGATGGAGTTTTCAAGCCTTTTTTCTACACCATCCAAACAATAAGTATACATTTACTTTTGACGCGAAATTTAAGAAATAATTGTATTTTAATTATAGTGGGTATATAAAAATAGTGTAATGATATTTTTGTTCTTATTTTTTGGTATAAAAGTAGTGATGTGATGTAAAGTAAGAGTATTTGTGAAAAAAAGTGAGGTA